CGTTTTAGAGTTTTCTTATTGAAGATTTTAATTTGATTGTTATAATGGACATTTAGGGACTAACATATGGTTTAATTTTAGGGGTCTTTAGCAGTTGGGGGAAACCGAAGGACCCGGAGAAAACCCACTAGGTTGGACAGGCAACCCTACTCCTTGTCACGTACAACCGGGGATTCGAAACCACGCCAGTTGACTCAATGACAGGCCTTATGGTACAGTGCGCACGTGCTAACCATTCTCCCCCCACACACACACACACACACCACCCCGCATAATGGACATTAAAATCTCCGACAATAATTAGAATTCTCCCCTTTCTTGTCAATTATATCTACCATAGCTGAAAATTCATCGGTGAAAAAAATTGTTTGTTATTTTTTTTCTTTGAAGTTGGTAATTTGTATATAATCCTAAAACACTTACTATCAGCCCTTATTACTTTAAGTTCACTATTGGAACGAAAATGTTTTGACGCAAATCTCCGATATAAATTGTGTAAACGTGCCTATTTGAACCAACATTTATTACTGCCCGTCTTTGTTATGTATTCAATAATAATATTTATCCACTTTTGTGAAGAAAATCCAATAATTATTGTTATTTTATAAAAAAAAATGAGCATAAATCTAAAAAATCTATTGGAAGTTGTATTTCTGTCCAATTTATAGAAACACAATACGTAAGATGTCAGTCCGTCTCTTTGATCTGGGGTCTTCCCTAGAACTTAGGACAGTCGATTAAATGCATTGGAAGATGGTGAAAATATTGTTCGTCTGTTATGTGGTCCAATGATAAAAAGATTACAAGTGTGTGTGCCCGGAACCTCCAGGTTAACGGGTGATCTTTTTACTCACTGAGCCACCGCCGACGGTATCAACACGGACGAATGTACTATGTACAGCTTTGACATATATTCTTTTTATTTTCTCCTCGTTTTTGAGTTCTAGCATTATTATAGCCTGTTAGGGAATGTATATTGCACAGTAGTGGAATTTGGGCGAAATCATGTCATTGGTTGATTTTGTATTACTGACAGAAGACAGGCCAATTATTATGTAAAATCCACTCTCGTTTTAATCCATGACAAACTTGTTGTTGTTGTTTATCTTAGCGTTTAACGTCCGCTTCCACCGAAGGTGATATCGCAGACAAGTTGTCTTTATTTGCATTTTAATGATTTTAGCGCACGTGCAGGGGTCTTTGCTGTGGGAGGAAACCGGAGTACCCGGAGTAAACCCACGAGGTTGAGAGGGCGTCCCTATCTCCAAGCCACATACGCTCACACCAGGGATCGAAACCAGAGGTGACCGGCCAACTAGAGGTCGAAGCGTGACACTCTAGACCACTAGGCCACCCCCTAATTGACAAACTTACAAATTACTACATTTTAATGAAATAACTAGTGTTTCATGGGATGGCTAACCACATGTGTTATATTTTAGTTGTGATGTTTATTAGTGTAGAATTATTATTACTATTTTATTTATATAGCGCTACATTACATATCAAAATGTTTTTAAGCGCTTCACAAAAACACAAAACTAATCATAAGACTGTCCGAAAAGATGCGTTTTCGGCTTACACTTCTATGTATGATACGAATTTAATTGTCTAATGGTTACAGGAAGATTGTTCCAGAGTTTGGCAGACAGACAGGGGTATGAGAATTGGTCAACTCGTTCGTTATATTTTGGAATAGAGAGGCGAGTTCTGTCATCGGCTGATCTCAGATTAGATCGTTGACTGGAATAATATGTGAGGAGTTCTTTTAGATAGACTGGATAGGAATCGGAGTATAGCGTATTGTATATATTGCACAGTATTTTAATGCATGCGGGATTTTACCAGTAGCCAATAAAGATCTTTCAAATTGAGTTTCAAATATAACCCGAACAGCATTATGCTAAGCATCCTCCAACCTGTGAATATCTGAGTCGGGTGTTGTAGCTAATAATGCATTATTTAGCGTAGTCTAAATGTGACAAGTGCACAGACTACGCTAATGGCACAATCCCTAATTCGGCACTTTCCAATCTTAGAAATGTTTCTCAACTGGGAAGATCATTTGTTTTACGGTACTGTTTATCTGTGGTCTGTTGGAGAGATGTTTTTCAAAGATGTGGCCCAGGTTCTTTGCTATATCCTTTTTTCTTTCTTTTTTTTTTGCGGCGCGGGGGCGGTTAGGTGGCGGAATGGTTAGCGAGAGAGAGAGAGAAATGGGGTTTAACGTCCACTCGACACAAACTAGGTTATTTCGGGACTAACATATGGTTTAATTTTATTTCAATAATTCGCTTGCGCATAGGGGTCTTTAGCAGTGGGAGGAAACCGGAGGACCCGGAGAAAACCCACGAGGTTGGACAGGCGACCCTACTCCTTGTCACGTACAACCGGTAATTCGAAACCATACTAAAAATAGCACAAACATGTCCATACTGAACTGCAATGTTCTATCCAAAAACATGATCATCCAAAAGTTCTCCTAAAAATCTCCCCGCGTTTTCACACAGTAATCACGTAGTTCTTAGTTAAACTATACACAAGTTTCAAATATCATATTTGAAGAAATCAGAGCAAAATAACCCAGTTGTAGCCACACATGGCAAAAAAACCATTTTGGTGCTTGGAACAGTAATAAGTGCTGATAGTAAGTGTTTTAGGATTATATACAAATTACCAACTTCAAAGAAAAAAAATAACAAACAATTTTTTTTCACCGATGAATTTTCAGCTATGGTAGATATAATTGACAAGAAAGGGGTGAATTCTAATTATTGTCGGAGATTTTAATGTCCATTATGCGGGGTGGTGTGTGTGTGTGTGGGGGGGGGGGGGCGAATGGTTAGCACGTGCGCACTGTACCATAAGGCCTGTCATTGAGTCAACTGGCGTGGTTTCGAATCCCCGGTTGTACGTGACAAGGAGTAGGGTTGCCTGTCCAACCTAGTGGGTTTTCTCCGGGTCCTTCGGTTTCCCCCAACTGCTAAAGACCCCTAAAATTAAACCATATGTTAGTCCCTAAATGTCCATTATAACAATCAAATTAAAATCTTCAATAAGAAAACTCTAAAACGAAAGACATTCTTCACTCATTGGCTGCACTTTCATGAATAAGCAATCTCGGGCAATGAAATTAAGCACGTGGTACATAACTGAAAACGGCGACATTATTAAGTCTATATATTGCATCAAAATATGACTTGTTGATTTAGAGTCAAATCGACTAATGGCATGATGTAAACATATCGACATAGTTTTTGTCGTTTAGAGGTGAATTTAATGCGCCGAGTCGACTTATTAAGTCGATTTTTTTGTAATATAACTCATGAAGTTGACATATTTCAGTTCGATGTGTTGCGATATTATCTCAATAAGTAGTGACCCAAATACGCTTCCATATAGTTACCACTGTTGTACTATGCTATGTTTATAAACTATCAGTCTATGACCTACAGCTAAAACATGAAACTTGAAACGCATGTAGCACTCCACTTGTCACATAATTATCTTTTATTTTTGACCTGTGATCTTCTAGGTTGGTTTGATTCTGGACTGGCTACTGCTGTATCTCTGTCCTCACGATACCGAAATCGAATATATCACCGAGGTGATATCGCAGACAAGACTATTCTATCCCCCGTCCTCTCTTTTATAGGTGCCTATCCCTAATTGATTTATGTCATAGACTGATAACAGCTAAATTTCAAATATGGAACAGATATTCACCATACCCTGTATACTGGCAAGGATTATTACCTAATTTGGTCAACAAATTATGATGTACGTTTTATTACATAGTAAAGTGTAAATGATCAACACATGTGTATAAATCTATAGCTCAGTTAACGTATCAAAGCAACCTGCATTACTTGATAGATTTTTGATTATGATTTTAGAACCAATAGTTTGTAAAGATACTATTTTTACAGCCATTATATTGTTACACTCACTGTGGTCAATAAGACAAGCTTCTGAAAAGTACCGAAATAAATTGACAATTAAATTATTTTAATGTGAAAAGGGTCAAGTAGTTTTAGTTATGTGGTTCAGGCCCGAAAGTATAAAAAAAATGTGGTTTGATGATTGAGATTCATCGGGTATAATTTATTTAGCTAAAGTTATAATGTTGATATAAATGATGATTATCTTATGGATTAGTAACACATTAATTTATAGCACTGCACATCTGCAAATAAGTGTCTATAATGCCCTTGGGCAACTGTTTTGCCGTGTCGTAGACGGCGGGGGGGGGGGGTGGTGTCTATAGGGGCGGGGCCATGCTTAAAATCGGAAATTGGCGGGAAATATAATGATGTTGATATCAATGATTATCATCATTAGTAAAATACCCTGTACACTGCACACTATGAATTAATGCTTTACTAACCTGTACGATAATCAAGACCCGTTTCGAACCATGTGGTTTTTGTCCCAAAAATGCATTTGGAACCCTACAGGCCCCAACCTCTCGTCCCGCCCCACACTCTCCTCCGCAATGCGAGACAGTTGCCAAGGGGCTATGGAAGCCTATTGCGGGCATTTCAGAATCTCGAGAAGTCGAGAAGTCGTGGGCGAGAATACGAGAACACGAAAAGACGAGAAGTCGATGGCGAGAGTGCGAGGGAGCGAGAACACGGGGAAACAGGGCGAGAATACGAGGATCTCGCCCGGAGAACACGAGATTACTTTCACCTCGACTTCTCGCTCCCTCGTCTCTCGACTTCTCGCTCCTTCGTGTTCTCGCCTTTGAAAAACCTCGTGTTCTCGCACTCTCGCCCTCAACTTCTCCCCCTCGACTTCTCGCCCTCGACTTCTCGCTCCCTCGTGTTCTCGCCTTTGAAAAACCTCGACTTCTCGTGTTCTCGCTCCCTCGCTTCGTCACAATCTCGACTTCTCGTGTTCTCGTGTTCTCGCCTCGGAAGTTCAGTTTATGCGCATCTATATTTGGAGACATCGACTCCAATAGGCCGATCTTCAGTCTAGTATTTCATTCAGAACCGATGGCGATGGATGGAATCAACACAATTCTCACTGATTTGGGATTAACGCATCTTATGGATGGATTTAAAGACAATTCCGTAAGTACTAAAGTAGCCTATCCTATGATAGATACGACCACATGTTTTGTTTGGATGATCAAGTCCAAAAAATCACGTTTTTAGTTAGTTTGTGGACCCTGTAGAGGTCACAATTTTGAACCAATTTTGATCCAATTTTGATGAAACTTGAAATGCATGTTTATAAATTATAACCCAAAGATCTTGGTTGCTTTCGATATTTGCGCATAATGGATTGTAACTTCCTGAATTATGGCCCCTGATTGATCGAAAAATCGCCTTTTTTAGCTTGAGGCCCCTCTGAAGGTCACAATTATTATCTGATTTAAAAAAAAACGTTTGTTTATATCACAGTTACACCGTAATGAAGGTTGTAACTCTCTGAATTATGGCTCCTGATTATTGATTGTACGAAAACTTACATTTTTAGCCTGCGGTCCCTCAAGGGGTCACAATTATTATCCGATTAAAAAAAAAACAACGTTCAAATATATCACCGTTACACCGAAATGTTGGTTGAGTTCGAATTCCATGAAAATCGGACCAAAATGGCCATCCTTGTGCGCCAATATTTATATCAAGGTTGTGGAACCTCTAGATGTCAAATTTTTTTATACGATTTTGATGAAACTTAGTTCGTTTCGATATTCATACATATCGGATTGTAACTCCCAGAATTAAGGCCCCTGATTGTACGAAAAATCGTATTTTTAGCTTGTGGATTCTCTAGAGGTCACAATTTTTCATCCAATTTTAAAAACTGTTTAACTATATCACCGTTCCACCATAATGAATATTGAATTTGTATTTCGGGAAAATCGAAATGAAACTGCACAACAAAATGGACGCTCTTTGTACGCAAATTGTGTAAAAGTATGTAATACGAAGGTTGTGGACCTTCTAGAGGTCACAATTTTTATACGCCCACATTTTCATGTGGATGTATATTGTCATCGCCCCTGTCCGTCCGTGGACACTCTAGCACATGTCACAATTTTTATCCGATTTTGGCGAAACTTGAAATATATGTCTATCTCCCAAAGATTTCAGTTCCTTTCGATATTGGCATGTATCGGACCATAACTTCATGGATTATGGCCGCTGATTGTATGAAAAATCATGTTTTTAGCTTGTGAAGAGTCTAGAGGTCACAATTTTGATCAGATTTTGATGAAATTTAGAATGCATGTTTATATCCCAAAGATCTTGATTATTTTCGATGTTCGCGCATCTCGGATTGTAACTTCCGGAATTATGGCCCCTGATTGTACGAAAAATCACGCTTTTAGCTTGTGGTTCCTCTAGAGGTCACGATTTTTTTTCCGATTTAAAAAAACATTTTAGTATATCACCGTTACACCCTAATGATGGTTGAGTTCGAATTTTGTGAAAATCGGACCAAAACTGTCAGACAAAATGGCCGCCCTTTGACTGCAAATTGTGTATAAGTAATACAAAGGTTATGGGCCCTCTAGGAGGGGGGTGGTACCCCAGGAAGAATAATAGTCGATCGCAAAATCAGTGCAGTCGGTCGCAAAATAAGAGCAGTCGGTATCAAAATAAATGCTCACTGCATACGTCACGCTACTCACGCAAAACTTTAGTATAAAATAACCTTGCCAACTTATCACTAATATTCAGTTGTGAGTGTGTTGGTCTAAGAACAAAATTTCCTCTAGGGAGAAAAATAGTCGGTCTCAAAATAAGTGCAGTCACTGCAGTCGGTCTCAAAATTATGCATCGGCGACTTAATGAATTAATGAGGTAAACAAACAATGCTAGAATAGATCCCAAACTATGTATTTGCGTGAATCCGTGAGCCTAAATTGCATACGTCACACAAAACTATGGTATAAAATAACCATGTCTGCTTGTCATGTTTGAAAAAATGTCTGTCACTCGTATTCTGTTGTGAGTATGTTGTTCTATGAAATGTTTTCCCCCCATGGCAAAAAAATAGTCGGTCTCAAAATAAATGAATTAATGAGGTAAACAAACAATCACAAAACAGGCGAAATTAGTACGGATAGGCCACATGATTCTGTCCCATTTCTTATCCTCTCGTTAACGAGAATTTTGTTCCATTTACCATGACATTGACTAAAATTTTCGGGCCTAGTCTTGCAAAACAGGCGTAATTGACAAGGGCAGATCTCGAGATTCAGTCCCATTGGCTCACATTTCTGGTCCTCTCGTCCACAAGACTTTCTCCCAGCAATGACCTCAAAAGCTAGGATATTGACTCAATTTTTCAAGATTTTCTCAGGCTGCTCAGTGTTATAGGCACAATCCACAGGCACTTGAAGGGATTAAATTAAAATTTGTTACAACTGTTTGACTATGTAATACAGTATTAATAAGGTGCATCACCCGACATTTTGTTTTGACTGGGTCATCCAGTCCCTAGGCAAATTTCGCATAACGGATAGGTTAATGAAGGGACTGGGTGAAACAGACTGTTACTAATAAAAACAAAAGGAAATTCCTTTGAACTCAATTCGTGCAACTACCGGTCCAACGAAGTTTGAAATGGACATGTGATAGCGCTTCGGGGTTGATTTGTAATTAATAACGTTGTAAAATGACAAATTTAAATACATTGGAAGCTGTATAAGGATTAAATGAAGTCTCGATGGCTATATAAACGACGGGAAGCTAGAACTAGTAAGTATTGTGAGATGATAGCAGACGAAATGTCGTCAACAAGTCAAAACAAAATGTCGGGTGATGCACTTTCTTTATACTGTAATATATAGTCAAACAGTTGTAACAAATTTTATTTTAATCCCTTCAAGTGCCTGTGGCACAATCATCATATATGACATAAACTTTATGTCAACTTAAATAAAACTGTTTTCCGGCGAGACAACAATAGGCGAACAACTATATAATTATACAATACTATCTATGTTCTATTGGGACGCTTAATGTTATAGCGAGTATTTTGTTGACATTCATTGTGGGGTGGGATTGTGGATGACGCCCTAGATTTGGAACCGCCCCCACCCCACCCCCTATGCACAGCTTCTATATATCCGCTACTGCACATGGTCCCTAGTAAACTCGCATTTGTGGTGTGCGGCTCCCGACTGCGTCACTCCTACTAGGGGTATGTGCATTAGTCGGTCGCATTTTGGCTTAACACCCCCCCCCCCCCAAACAAAATCGTTATGTACGCCCCTGCCTCTAGGGGTCACAATTTTGATCCGATTTTAATGAAACTTAAGACATATCTTTAAATTCCAAAAATCTTAGTCCCTTTTGATATTTGTGTATTTCAAGCCGTAACTTTCTGGATTATGGCCCCTGATCGTACAAAAAATCGTTTTTGTTTTTAGCTTGTTCTCTATTCATCCCTTGCAAAATGTGGGCGTATCCGGCCTGGCAGCCGCTGATTATCCGATTTTAACGAAACTTAAAATATATCTTTATATCACAAAGATGTCAGTCCCTTTTGATATTTGCGCATTTCAGATCATAACTTTCTGATCGTACGGAAAATCGCTTTTTTTCTAGCTTGTTCTCTAACCATCTCTTGCAAAATGTGGGCGTATCCTGCATGGCAGCGTATCCTGCATGGCAGCCGCTGGTTTTCTTAATTAATATCTGTTTATTTAACAGGTTGGCCCTCAAGAAGTTCTAACATTAACTGATTCAGAATTTAATTTCCTTGGTGTGAGTGCTATTGGTGATCGTGCTAGGTTGAGTCAGAGATGTAGAACATATTTGAATGGTAAGTAGCATGTGCAAAGTCTGGAGATAGCGATAGTAGATGTCGGCGAAACATAAATACTGTTTGGGGGTTAAGATTGGCCAATGATTTTCGATAACTTCCGTCTGTCATTGACATTTTTTGTTTGTACACATGAGTTTACTATAATCCATATCTTTTCGAAATTGAAATAAACGCCATTTATTTCTGATAATCACCACTAGAGTTATGCCCCCGAGTTAGACTTTATAATTTATATGCTGCATTTATTAACTTATTTCTATATGTCCACACATGAAAAACGTTGTCACTAATGTCTGTCCGTCGGTCCGCCTGTCAATAATTGACTTGTTAATTCTATAGTGGCTACAGTTTTTAACAGATTTTTTTTCATATTTGGTGTTCTGGAATATGATAACTGCTACAGGTAACTTACAGATGTTTTTCAATTTGGGTGTGGTGAATTGGGGTCATGAGAGGATGAACCCTATTTAGCATTCTGCAACCTTCTGTTTCAGATGTGCTGCTGTCGAGACATAGCTGCTGTGTGGGCGTAATTACACACTTTGCAAGGCTATATTTCAGTAATATATACTTGTCGTCTATCTGTCTTATGGAAAAGAATAATGCTTTAATTATGTCTTTTTGAAATTTTTACCCTGTTAGCTAATAACTGCTCGTAGAATATAGCTGCGCATGAGCACATGTTTGGTTATCTGCTTTTCACCCCAAACTAGCATGTATGTTCTCATTGAAACTAGCACTTAAATGTAAAGAATATTGGGTACCATACTTAAGAAGTTAATTCCTTGTGTTAAGTTAAATTTGGTAGCCTAGATTTGTCTTTGAAAGTGGCTGAAGATCTTTCATATATAATGCATACCTCAATATGCTCAGTTTATCATTTTGAAGATTTTCAAAATTAGATACAGGTATTTTTAAAATCAAATAAGTGCTCTGACTGTACTATAAATGCTCCCCGGATGTACGTGACAAGGAGTAGGGTCGCCTGTCCAACCTCGTGGGTTTTCTCCGGGTCCTCCCGTTTCCTCCCATTGCTACAGACCCCAAGCGAATTATTGAAATAAAATTAAACCATATGTTAGTCCCGAAATGACCTAGTTTGTGTCGAGTGGACGTTAAACCCCATTTCTCTCTCTCTCTCTCTATGAATGCTAAATGGACGATTGGCATATTCAATCTTGGCCCTTGCTTGGCAGATTTAATCTGACTGATTTAATCTGCCTCTTGCATGGCAAATGCATTTTCCATTCATTGATTTTGACTTCACAAATTTAAATTTTCTAGGTCAGTGTGAATCGCCGTCTTTTAAAAAATTCAAAGAACTTTCAGAAAAGAAAAAGCCACAGAATAACAAGTTAAAGTCAAACAGGAGATTATATACAGGATGAAAGCTATTCACTGGACAAAGTTATAAATTGGTTCCGTTATCACAAGGGGGTGGATCAATTATTATGGATCTACCTAAAGAGTATTTACTCCCAGACCTCCAGAAAAAGATGATAGCAACTTTCTTCCCAGATGGTCAAGCAGTCCATAAAAACATAAAACTATCACATTGTGAAACATTTATTGGAAATTTTGCTGGTGAACGTGTGCCATCAAAACTGTTAAATGAAGATCTTTTTTCCCTTGATGGATATTTTTCAGAAATAAAATCCAATCCTGTGAGACTATATTTGTATGCAAAAACTACAACAGTAAATCGACCACCATCAACTTCATCTACTACGTTAAATCAACCACTATCAACTGTATCTACTACGTTAAATCAACCACCATCAACATCATCTACCACATTAAATCAACCACCATCAACTTCATCTACCACATTAAATCAACCACCATCAACTTCATCTACCACATTAAATCAACCACCATTAACTTCATCTACTATGTTAAATCAACCACCATCAACTTCATCTACCACATTAAATCAACCACCATCAACTTCATCTACAACGTTAAATCAACCACCATCAACTTCATCTACCACATTATATCAACCACCATCAACTTCATCTACAACGTTAAATCAATCACCATCAACTCCATCTACCACATTAAATCAACCACCATCACCATCAACTTCATATACAAGATTTAATCATCAAACCTCAGCCATATGTACTCAACCACAAACAGCAATTAATGTAGTAAATTATCCAACAATTATCACCAACATCAATGATGACACAGATGATGAATTACCGGATATATCATTTTATTCAGGAACACCAACTGTAAGTATATAAATAGAATAATTTATAATCATGATGCAATTTAAAATGATGTTGAGGGTACAAAAAATAAAAATAAGACTATAGAAAATTGAGGACAAACTTTGGCCTTTAATTCTGTTCAGTGGAGCCCTCACTCACCAAAGGACCTTGGCCAATATCTTAAAGTCCATTAATCATAGACTGGCTACTGATTATTTTTTTAAGAATAAGACGAAACCAGCTTCAGTCTGCTCCAGTAATCAGACTGATATCAAATCCCTAAGTAAAAGTTAAATTTGTCAGAAATACTCAATTTTTTAGCCCTCTGTTCACCACACTCAATGTTCTTGATTATTATTTAAAATTGGCACAGCAGTCTTCATCATTGTGTGTGTATGCCATATTATGAAATAAGCTATCTTTTTACTTTCAGATAATCTTCAAGAAAAGTAAAAAGTAAGTAAATTGTCTTTAATAAATGACACTTTTTTGGGGCATATGCTCCATATTTTGAAATGATCCTCACAAAACTTTTAGGCCGGGTTAAAATTGAGGAAACAGTCACCCAGAAGGGGACAAATTTATATCATCATATTCATAGGCATATCTTCAATCCAGGCTTTAGAGAAGGCCTGGTAAACCAGAGTCAATTGGTTTTAAAGGGTAAATGACTATCAAGCAGCTACGATTTTGCCCATTTAATTAGATTAATGCTTTCTTTACATGCATGGAAGTGGTGGGACTTTAGTTGATTCATTATGGTATGAACTGATAATTTTTATGTGATGTGTTCGTAATGACAGACTGTTCTTTATGCAATTGGTAGGAGCATAAGGTATACCGGTAGATCAAATTTCATTTGAGTGATTTAACAAGCATGTATTCTAGAGTTATCGTCGAAGTCTAATATCCAGTTTACCAAATGCATATATTGAAGCAAATGAGGCCACACAGTGTTTGAAAAAAAAGGATGAGATTTATGCCCTACTGTTAAGTACTGATATCTAGGCTAATAAAGGCAAGAAAAAATTTAAATGGGCACAATATATCAGGTAGTAAAAGCTATCTTAATTTTATTTTCAGAGCTGAAAGCTTGGAAGAAATTTTAGTTCGCTTAAATAATCAGGTACAAAATGGGAAAAACATCATCAATGTAAGCAGAGGTGATGTTTTGTCTGGAACAAAGAGAGCTTTTTCCAGGAAAACCTTCAGACCCGAATTAGGTCTAAGGGTAAAATTTTCAGGGGAAAATGGCATTGATGATGGGGGACCATCCAGAGAACTTATATGACCACTATAAAGGATTCACAAGTGTTTCAAGGATCAGAGAGTAAAATGCTTTGTCCAGATATCCCCAGTAAGTATCAAATGCACAGGTGAATCGCACTAATAAAATCAGCAATGTCAACTGAAATCAACCTTTGTGACCATGCTTCCACTTGCTCCCAAGTAACCAGTCAGACTTATTGGCATATCTTGTTATATGCTCACATTTTAGTATTGTCATTATTCCAGTTTGTCATAATATCTTGTTAACACCATGGAGGCTTCAGGTTTCATCAGATCTATTTTAATGATATCTTCCAGTTATTTACTTTTACTATTATATCTTGTGGCCTTAGTGGCTGTCTAGTCTGGAAATGAAGTGGGGTTTTAACGTTCTACTGTTTTGCTCCGAACTGGGCTAATGAAGATAGACATACGCCTACTCTTATATCGAATCCCAATTGTCAAGGGATCTTTTATGCGCACGCCAATGTGTTCATTTAACCTCAGTTTTTCGTCCCATTCGAACAACTAGACAGCTTTCCTTGTCTGGCCCTCTGTCCTGCATCACTGACAAGGGGGAACCACACCGGAAAATCTGGATGCACTTTCTCGACCAATGCAGGGATCGAACACCTGAACTCCAGGCTAGCGAGCCAGCGTCCTACCCACTTAGCCACAGTCTGGAGGCTCAGTGCGGGGGGGGGGGGAGGGGTTCCATTAAATGGGCACAAAACCAGATCTAACTTTTCCACAGTATTTTTGGGGCGTAGAATACTATAAAGAGTGGTAATCAGTCTGCCGTTGGAGATAAATTTTAAATACTTCACCTGGTTTATTCTACAATTTATTCAGTACATAATTACTATATTCATATCCTATGTTAAACAATATAGTCAAAATCTTAATGATAGTAATTACACTCATTCAGTCTGTCATCATATTTTTGTACATCTTTCGGTTCTTAACCAATAGATATGTATATTTGAGTGTTACTGTTGTTTGACCAATTACTCTGACTTTTATCCCCAAACATGTTCATCTAAAAATGTGTGTGTCCAAATGGAAAAGTTAAGTTTTTGGAACTTTTAAACATGCTGGAATGTGTGTGTATGTAGCAACAGCTAGTTATTTCTCCATATTAAAATATGTTGCATTGCCCGACAAACCATCTTCACACTTGAATAGCAGATTTAAAATATATCTATTAGCTTAACTGCACGGTTTAAATTATTTGTCAGGTGAAGAAAGAGATGATTACAGACTGTTTGGAAAAATCATATCATATTCAGTAATTCACCGTGGTAAGTCTTTTGATATTCATTACTTTTAACATTAAGTATATAGTGATGTTGATGTAGGTAGCTGTAGTTACAGTTGAATTTCGGGATGTTATCAACTTGGATGTCTGTAGTATGTCTGGGCATAAAAATGTAATTTTTAATGATCATCAGACACCACCTAAGATGAATTTTGAACAATAATCTATCCCTTTATCTACATTTAAGCCTAGAGAGATTTTGAAATTAAAAAACAGCATAGGTATCTGCAGTTTTTGTTGAACCTTTGATAGCAATATTGTATCATTGTAGTAATACAGTGTCAGTTCAAGCATCAATAGTAAATATATAGATATTTAACTAATATTCTGCATACCAGCTACCTATATTCTGTCTTGATATTTATCCTTATCATACAAACAAATTTCTGTGTGATTTTCCTTCCAGAAAATTACAATTTATTTTGGTCCTCTTAGTTCTAAAAACCTAAAACAAAATTATTAAATTTCTTTTATTATGTTTCTACAGATTTAATCAATCTGTATTATTATGCCTACTTTATTCGGCTGGTTTATAAACATGCAGATGTTTGCAACCTTTAATTTTTAAAATTTTAAACAACCATTAAAGATTATGTAAGAGCTAAATCTGCCTATTACGGGTTTTTATTTAGGCTTCACATGTTATATAAACTATTATTTAGACATTTACTTATTACTTGACAAGCCTATAATCAACTCTCCAGCAGATGTAAATGGATTCAAATACGATTGCCATTTAATGATTTAATTTAAACATGAAGACGTGAGATGGAGTCTCGATAAACAAGTAATTTTTTGTCAAAACTTCAAACAGTGATAACATCGCTCAGAATAACTTAATTTGAGTGAAATTTTCAATATATTACTTTTCAAATATTTATTTTTGAACTATTATAGCAAGAACTGCCAGCTCTTTAGCTAATTCTTGCATAATTTATCTGGAGCAGAAAAGTAGGATTTCAAACTCCATTTCATAATTTATCTTTAAGGATCAAAGATAAATTGACTCATTTCATCGTAACATAATTGTTTCTATTTTTTCAGTGTAAAGGTCCAGTGCCAAGATTCTTTTCTAGAATCCTTTATGATCTGATAGCTTTTGGCTCTTGTGAACCAAAATTGGATGACATAGTAGATTATCAAATCAGAGAACAAATTAAAGAGGTATTTCGAATGCTAGTGTATTAGATATAGATTTGAATGTTCAGTAGTAACATTCAAATGCAGATCTTTGCTGTTTGTCAAGGTGATTGTATCATATGGTGGGTGCCGAATCTGGTTCCAATTTAATTGTATTTGAAAATGCATATAAAAGCTGGTGTTTTGTTGTATGATTATATAGATGCAAGTTTGTTTTTTTTAAAAGTTGTCAAGGGCAGATGATGTAATAATTTTACAAGAGGCTGCACAGCCTCTTATTGGCCATATAGACTTTTTAGGAGCTATACCGCTTATATTCGATGTAAAAAATAAGGAAAGTCTAGTCACATTATTAACAGGGTATTTTGTTGTGGACGGGGTAAAGGGAGTGTTTAATCAGTAAGTGAATGTTTTTTTGATCACTGTTTATCTGAAAAATTGGTGTTCCTGGACGTGGAAAAGCTGCAAGTTTTCCATGGTGAGATGAAAAAGTGATGTCCTCAATGAGTCAATGCATGTTAATCCATAGGCAATTAATATCAGAAAAAAAAGTAGAAGGAAATACTGTTCGCCTGGGAATTTTGTTAAACTTTCACATTGAATGACTGATTATAGAAATATGAATATATTTCATCTCTATAATAAATATCCCAAAACAACTAATTTTAACTTTATATTAGGTTCTGTGAAGGGATGGATTCTTTGGGTTTAAGAAAGGAAATAATTAAAAATCCAGAAGTCATGAGAGAACTTTTTGTTTTTTCTTATGAAAAATTGTCGTCCATTAATATTGATAGCCTGTTTACTACAGTTTTTAGCGAAAACAGCTTTTCGCTTGAACAGGAATTAAACAGCCATGCTCATTGGAGAGATTTTCTTCTGGATCTTGAAGGTAATCATCCTCTATTTAAGTATATTTTTCTGTTTTTCATTGTCTATAAGTTGTGTCCCACCTTCATTATCTTAGATTAGTGAACAACACAACAGCACAGTGTACATTTTTAATAGTACCATAGAACAAATGGTATGGTTGCCCATGTCCATCTGACAGTCCATAGGTATTTCTAGTCTCCAAATATTGCTCCATTGCAAGCAAAGATATTAACTTGTAAAGGTTGGACAGGATATGCGCATTAATTGCAATCACTGTTCTAATCTACTTAATATCAAAGATATCCAATGGCACCGAGAGTTGATTATGGCCTGGATAATTTAGATAAAATTTCAGGCCCAAAGAAAGATCTGCAAAAGACAGATTTAGCTCTTGCAAAATGTACTTTTAATTTCTTGACAACTGTTGGCTTTCTATAGATGTGGATGAAACTTAACATTTATTTATCCTCTCAAACAGATGAACTGGGTAGTTTGTTATCTTTTGTGACTGGTTTAAAGGACATACCTCCACTGGGATTCAACCCACCACTAAAGCTACTGTTTAGACACCCATGGGACATTGCCCCGTTTGCAAATACTTGTGCTAATAGCCTTAACATTCCAGTGTTAAAAGATTATGATACATTCAAAACTGCAATGGCCATGTCTTTAAGAATTGGCAATATTTTTTACTGATGCTTAAAATATTAACTTGCCTTTTTCGGTTTTACCCAGTCAGTTTGATAGTTATATTTAAAAACACTTTTTTTGTGATACAACTTAGTCTGTTTTATCCAGTCAATTTGATAGTTTTTAAGATAATTAAATTTAAAATTGCCCTTTTTGTGATACAACTTAATTTGTCCCTTTAAAGTGTGTAATAATTTCTTTTTTACCTTTGGGGGTAGCCCATTTTAAATTTATTTCTTTGTGATATATTTTATGTTCTTTGGTTCAATTTTGATTTATTTCTGTGTAGAGCTGCAACAATCTAATGTCATTGTATAATTTTTGCAATCTGAGTTGTTTAATTTATAATTTTTAACAAAAAGTTTTATGTTAAAAGATATATAGTAGTAGTGAAGCAGTATTTTTTTACCTGCAAACAGATAATGTCCGACAAATATTACCTTTATAACTTTTTATCTTTTACCTATTAAATATGCTCTTTGTAACTTAATTTCTTTGTTGTCAGAATTGCAGTATCTAAGGAAAACACAAACTACTTCCCTTTGCAAGACGTTTTGTACCAAATCCTATGCCTGGACATTTTGTACATGTAAATTTCCTACAAGAAACTGGTTTCTGTTATTTAAAAAAGGAAAATTAAATTGTTTTAATTTCATAGGGAATTTTTTATTTGACAATGGGTAGAAATAATGATTAATATACAGACTTTTGCATATAAAGTTAACTTGAATGTCTAGGTTGCAATCTGAACAAACCTTTTTAAGATCAAAATTCTTACATTAATTTTTATACTCCCACATTGAAATGTGGTTGTATATTTTGTCGTTAGCTCTGTTAATATCTGATTGACTTAAGATTTATACACAGTGTTTAAGGTCATCAGACCGATTTTCAACCATTTCTGATATTTACTGCCACAGTCATGGCCTTTAAAGGACAATATTGGTGCCAGTCATGTGATAGAACTGGTTAAATACATTCCAAATATAATTTTAACAGAGAGATCACTGCTACGATAGCTGAGTAATACAGGATTTGCGAATCGGAAGTGACGAACGCCAAAGGAAAACACGGGACAGACCTCTATATAACTGGCTGAAGTGCCGACTGATAACAGATACATGGGCGAATTTCTGCTCACTAATAATTCCTTCGAAGACCAAAAGTTGTTATATGGGACTGTAAGAGGATAGCTGACAATTCAATACAGTAATTGAATGTCATTAGATAAGAGAACACGAGAAAAATAGAAATAGTCCGTACATTCCCTTGTTTATATTCATTCTATAGGGGAGAGCGGGGCTAGTTCGCACCATTTTTAATGAAACCAACATATCTCGATAATTTTTGAAGCTACGTTACCGTAGACCAGTGATTCCCAACCAGTGTGCCGCGCAACACAGCTGTGCCGTGAGATCTTCCTATGTGTGCCGTTTAGTTTGAGCCATACTATGTGTCTATGACTAGTCTGTGGCTACAGTTGTATGCCGTCTATGATTTGCCATGAAGGTGCTGACAATACACCCCCCCCCCCCCCCAGGCTGTGTGCTCCTTAACCGGAGCCAGTTTAGCTTATGCCTTTTTTTGGACACTGTAGATCGATGGATTACAGTGCTTATCCCGAGAGGCGATTGTGTCAAATTCTACTGACAAATAGAAGAGAAAATAACGTACTTTGCATTTCAGGCCTACATATGTTCATAAGGCCTCAAGGGTGAAGCCCTTCCCAGCAACTAACCAAAGTTCAGGTTGATGAATAATAGTTTAATATACACCCTTCAATAAAAGCTTTGTCTACTAAAACTGTTTGACCAGCGGTTGCCAGGCAAGATACACCCACATTCTGCAAGAGATGGACAGAGAACAAGCTAAAATAAGATGTGATGTGTTTTTAAGGAATATCAAGCGCCATAATCCAGCAAGTTACGATTCGATACGCTCAGGTATCAATATGAAAGCATATCTTTGGGAAATAAACATAAGTTTAACTGAAATTGGATCGGATAAAAAAATTGTGACATCTACAGGGTCCATAACCTTATTGTGTGCGGGGAGTGGCTATTTTGTCGAGCAGTTTCAGTCCGATTTTCATGAAATTCGAGATCAGCTGACATTATTGTGTAACGGTGATAAATATAAACGTTTCTTCAAAATCGGGCAAAAAGTCTATCCTCTTGATGAACAACAAGTGACCAACACGGAATTTCATACACTCAGGGGCCATAATCCATGAAATTACCATCCGATATATCAAGAGGAACCAAGATCTATAGGATAAAAACATATTTTTATTTTCATCAAAATTTGATAAAAAAAAATGTGACCTCTAGAGGATTCACAACCATGTTATTTCATAACTTACTTTTACACTATTTGCGTTCAAGCAGCGGACTTTTGTCGGTCCAATTTTTACGAAATTCGAACTCAACCATCATAACGATGTAACGGTGATATATACAGTGAAACGGTTTTGTAAATTGGATAATAATTGTGACCTCTAGAGGGACCACAAGCTTAAAACGTGATTTTTCGTACAATCGGGGGTAAATATCGAAAGGAATCAACATCTTTGGGTTATATTCTATAATCATACATTTCAAGTTTCATCAAAATGGGATAATAATTGTACCCTCTAGAGGGTCAACAAACACTGTATGTTTAATTAGTCAGTTCTCATTTTTAGCCAACTATATAATTCTAATGCCTCTTCTGGATCATTTGGCATCGCTTTTCCGGCCTGCACTAACAATGCTGAGCATACATTGGGTCGATAAAATTTACAAAACTGACTAAAACTATCAAGATCTTCGACAGCAACTTCGGTTTTGTAATCAACTGTATCTGAATATTAAAATGAAAAAAAAAATCACACAAAAATGTTGGTATAACTAATATATGACATAATAGCAGCTTAGTTTTCATTTAATGTTCAAATAATGACCAAATAGTTTCTACCCCCATTTGATTCGTATGGTGAGAATAATAATTTCTCATATTAAATCTAGTGATTGTCGCCTTACCAAACAACTGTGGAGTAAAATATAACAAGTCCGGTTTGCCTGCAGAAAACTCTGCCCCTTTAGTTGGTCTCATCTTATGTTGATTCCAGTCTTTACGGATTTGGTCTAAATCTTTTTGAATGAGATTTGTGAAGCAAAACCTGAAACATTCTCTGTAAGACATAATGATACCAATATTGCATTATCAATATCAAAACTAATATGTATGCTTGCTAATTTTACTGTAAACATATATGAGTTAAATCAAGCATATCAAAATAGATAAACAATACCATGACATTAGACACCCTATGAAATGTATTATACTGTGGGGACCTTAATAATGGAGGCTCTATCATAGATATATGACCAGTCAGCCTTTCACTATAACTTGACACCCATGATGGATTATCGATAATCTAACTATAAACATTACATAACCATGGCCCCAAGAAGTCATCTCAATAAATGAATGAATGAATGGGT